TATTTAAAATATAATATAACAGTCCTTCTACTTCATTCAAAGTAAAGTAAAAACTATTAAGTTAGCAAATATGTTTTTGGCTGAAACAACACAGTTTTTGAGATTTGGTTTGGACAGCTTAATTGTTTTATGTTCAATCAACTTAAGTTTGTCAAAACTAATAAGTTAACTTAATTCTTTCATGTTGTCCTGTATTTTATTTACTGTGTACAATTGTATTTTTTTACAATATACATTGAAAGCATTTATTTTTATGTTACATAATAAGTATTATTAATTTAAATTCTTGCAGAAAATTACTGTAATAATATTTTTATCATTTAATTAAAATGAAATTATATTTTAAGAAAATAAAAAATGTAAATCAAATAAAACAACTGTAAATAAATGTAAAAAAAATAACAATGAGAATTAAATCAAAAATAAATAAAAAAACAACTGCATCCTTAATGTGTTACTGAAATTAACATTACTGAACAGTAATTAACATTAATTAATATTACCGAGAAATAAACAATAGAGCTATATTATTTATAATTATTTAATTAAAATTATTTATAGTTTTAGTTTTATATAGTTTTAAAATTATTAAAATGATATTTATTAATATTAATACATAAAAAATAATTTAATTTATTTAAACAAAGTAAATAAATGTAAATAAATGTAATTGTTAATGCAAAAAACATAATTAAAAAAAGTTGAATTAAATCATTTGCATTCATAGTGAATAAAAGTGATCCTTTTCCTTTAAAAAAACGACTAAAGACCCCAATATTTTTATCTCACAAATTTCAGACTATTGCTATCATGATAATGTCCCAACCAAATACAACAACACTCTAGTGTCATGATAAAAAGCAACAAAAAAAAAAAACACTTGAGTGTCAAATTTAAATAATTTTTATTTAATTTTGAATTTTTTTTTATTTAAAATATAGCTTGGACATAATTTTACACTATTTATCTATAATATGTAATTATAATGTTTGTTTTTATCATACATAACCATATAGTACATCAATCATATTCCTGCAGGAAATCACTGTAAATAAAATAAATAAAAAATGTAAGAAAAATAAAAAAATGTAATAAAAGAAAATAAATATTGCATCCTCAGTGTTTAAAAAGTGATCTTTCTCCTTTAACAAAACTTACAGTCCCCAATCTTCTGATCTGTAGAATGTGTGCCATTGATTTAGATAAATATACTTACAAATCCCTGTAAAAGCACAATTGAAATTTCATCCTAAAATACCTCACACATTTTAAAGTATTGCAATCATGATTATGTCCCAACCAAAACAAAAACAACACTGTCAGATTTAAATCTGTGTCAGGGTCCGATTTAAACTAGCTTAAATGTAGAAACAAATTGTTTATTTAAATATTAAGGTAATTTATTTAGGTTATTTATTCATTCATTTATTTGTTTTCTTTTCGGCTTAGTCCCTTTATTAATCTTGGGTCGCAACAACGGAATGAACCGCCAACTTATCCAGCATATGTTTTAAGCAGTGGATGCCCTTCCTGCTGCAACCCATCTCTGGGAATTATTTATTAATTAATTTATTTATATATTTCTTGTTTGTTTGTTTATTTGTTGATTTATTAAAAAAATTTTTTTAACATATTTAAATATAATTTTATTTTATTTATTTATTATATATAACAATAGCTTTTATATTTTTATAATACATTACGTCATTCAAGTTTCTGCAGGACATTACTGTAATTAGAATAAAATAAATTAAAACAAAAAATTAAATTAAATTAAATTAAATTAAATTAAATTAAATTAAATTAAATTAAATTAAATTAAATTAAATTAAATTAAATTAAATTAAATAAGAAAACACATCCTTAGTGTATAAAACTGATCCTTTTCCTTTAAGATCAATTACAGACCCTGGCACACTCTTTAGATAAACATACTTACAGATCCATGTAAAGGCACCATGCAAATATCATCATAAAATACCTCACATTTTTTTTATTTTTTTTTTTGATATCATGACAATGTCCCAACCAAAAAAAACAAAACAAAAAACAAAACAAAAACATACACTCACTCCACCGTCAGATTTCTCAGCAGGCAGAAGCAGATTTCTCTGAACGTATACAGCTGTTTCTGCCACTCTGACTCTTTCCCTCTTTGCACATTTTGACAGATGTCATAACTGTTACTGTAAAATCTACAGCACAATCTGAACTGGCCCTTCACAACCCAGAGGGAAAACAGATCTGTGTTTATAAATGTGTATATATATCATTCCTCAACATCTCTGATAGCACAATTTAAAAACAAGAGACAATAAAACTCTCTAGAGTCCTCGCTTTGTCTTTCTACCAGCGAGAGAGACGAAAAAAAGAAACATTTCAGGCAGAATATCAAAAGAACAAAATCCAAATTGCCTTGAAATTGGATTCATTGGTGCTGCTCGGGCTGAAAACACACTAATAAGACGCAAAATCACAGAGGAACGTGCTGAAGTGCCCGTGTTGAGACGCTTTCCATTTCCTTTCAATTTAGTTATATTTCCTAATCTTTACACATTTACTGGGTGAATGTCACAAAAACATGTGCAGATCATATTTCAGTATGATAACAGCGGAAGAAATTACAGTTATTTCTCAAAGAAATGCAAGCCTGTTAATATCAGAGAAGAGTTTTTTGTGATTCTCATAATTAATCAAGTAAACCATGAAGAAATGTAATTTTCATAACCATGAGTGCATTTTTTTGCTTTAATATTTGTGTGATTTTCATTCACATTACTCAAAAGTAATGTTTTTCTCTTTCTGTAAAAGAATAACAACTATAATCAGTGCATTTTTACTGGTACAGATATAACAGAAGGATGTATTGCATTTAGTATTACACACATAAACAAATGTACGCACACATATGTAGTAAGTAAGGTGTATTTATATAGCGCATTTATTGTCATACACCCAAAGCGCATCACAATCATGAGAGGGAGGTCTCCCCACTCCACCACTAGTGTGCAGCATCCACTTGAAGGATGTGACGGCAGCCATCGGGACATTAACGCCAGTGCGCTCACTACACACCAGCTATAGATGGACAGATGGTGATAAAGCCAATGGGTGGGGATGATTGGGAGGCCATGATGGGTAAAGGCCGATGGAGGGAGTTACACCACTACTCTTTACGAGAAATGCAATGGGATTTTTATTGACCACACAGAGTCAGGACCTCGGTTTAACGTCTCATATGAAATACGGCGCTCACTGACACTACAGTGTCCCCTTCACTATACTGGGGCATTATGACTCACAGACTCACGCAGGTTGAGCGCCCCCTGCTAGCCTCACTAATACCACTTTTAATAATCATAATCATCTACTAAATTTTATCCTATTGTGTGCATGTGTGTTTTATAATATTCAGCATAAATATATATTAATCAGTAATATTTATTGACAACTGACAATATTTTTTGTTATTTTTTTTATAAATTTGATTATATATTTTTTTTGCCATTAAAGAGCAGTATTTCTCTAATTGTGATGGATAAAAAACGAATATTAAAAATTACATCCTATATTTATTAAAAAAAATAAAAAACAAACAAACAAACAAATAAATGAATGATTTAAAATGAAAATAAATAAATAGACAAATAAACAAACATAAATAAATAAATAAATAAATAAATAAATAAATAAATAAATAAATAAATAAATAAATAAATAAATAAATAAATAAATGAACAAAAAAGATAAATGAATGAATGAATAAATAAATAATCATTGTTAAAGAATCATTAAAAGTAGTTTTTAATATTTACTTATTTATTTAATAACAATTTAGCATAATTGCTGTCACACAAATTCAATTAAATGGTAAAAATAATAAACTTATTTAATTTACAAACAAACAAATAAATAAATAAAATAAATATTTAATATATAATTCATGTAATTAAATAAATAAAGATCTCAATTTTCTTATTTTTACTTTAGCTGTGAAATATATATTTTGTTTGTTTTTATATTTATTTGCATTGTTTAAAAACAATTTAGCATTAGTTACAAATTCAAAACAATTCAAATCAGCTAAGAAACAATGAACTCATACATTTATAAATAAATAAAAAGACAGAAATAAACAATGAAATGAAATAAAATTTTACATAATTTTTTTCACGTTTTGTAATTTTGCTGTAAAATAACACCCTGACATGATGTTGACACACCTTAGCATCCCAGTACTTCATAAATAACAGTAACCTGGACTGAAACAATAAATGCTGCCACTATGATTTGAGGAAATCACCTTCCCCAAGGATTTTGCTCTTATGTTCCTCCTGCCACAGAACAGTGTTACACTCTCATCTACATTCATCATCTACACACACACACACGCACACACACACACTGTTCCAGAACACAGCAAACCATCAGTTACTGCAATTTAATAAGATCCCCTGTGTGTGTGTGTGTGTGTGTGTGTGTGTGTGTGTGTGCGTGTTTGCGTGTGCGTTTGTTTGTTTGACTGTGTGCATGAGTATGTGTTTGCATGTGTGCGTATGTGTGTGTGTGCATGCTTGTGTATGTACATGTGTGCGTGTGTAAGTGTGTGTGTGTGCGTGAGTTTGCTTGTGTGTGTGTCTGAGACTGTGTGTGCATGCGTGTGTTCATTCGTTAGTGTGTGCATGTGTTTGTGAATTTGTGCATGTATGAGTGTGTGCGTACGCATCTAAGAGTGTGTGAGAGTAATTTTTGTAAGCGTGCTTGTGTGTTAGCGTGAGTGCGTGTACATTATGTGTGACTTTGTGTGTGTGTGTGTGTGCCTGCGGTTGCATGAGTGAGTGTGTTTGCGAGAGTGTGTTTGCTTGTGTATGTGCATGTGTATGTGTATGTGTGTGTGTGTGTGTGTGCATTAGTGTGTGTGCAAGTGTGCATGTGTTTGAGTATGTGCTTGCATGTGTGCATGCCTCCATGAGTGTGTGTATGCAAGTGTGAGTGTGTACCTGTTGGAGGGTGTAGAGAAGACCCCCAGGATGACGTCTCTGCCCTGCATGCGTATGATGGGGCTGGTGGACTGCAGCAGGTTGAAGTAGAAGTGTGAGTCTCCAGGGATGGAGCAGTTCAGACGGGCCTTCAGAAACGATGTCCACTGCCGCTCTAACACTCGCTGAGAGCCGCCCAGATCTCCTTTACACACACGCGCCACACGAGACACCATCACCTGAAACACACACAAAGGGCCAGATTAACATTAGGGATAGGTTTGTTTTTCCAAGACAGTCCCTTATTTTTCTACCCAGAGTGCGAATTACAGGGGGGTTTGAGGGGATCGATTCCCCCAAATTATCACTTGATCCCCCATCTGATCTTAAAAGGGTCACAAAACACCACAAACACCATTTTTTTTTTAGATGATGGACATACACTACCGGTCAAAAGTTAGTAGAAGTTAGTAGTATTTATAGTAGTAGTAGTAGTAGTTAGTAGTTTTTTTTAAATGTTTTAAAATAAGGTGCTTATCAATTTATTAAATCAAAAATAAAGTACAAACTGTAAAATTTAAAAATTTTATTGCACTATAAAAGAACTATTTAAAAGTAGATTATCATTTAATTTAATGGTTTATTCCAGTGATTTTGATGAGGAATTTTCAGTTTCAGAAGAAGAAGAAGAAGTAGAATTGTTGAGCGATGATGTTAATAATTAACATAATAGATCCTATAATAGGGCTAGGCAGAATAGCACTATCTACAGTACTTGTTTTGTTGTTAAACTAAATAAAAATTACGACATTATCGATGCTGTAAAAGCACCTTATAAAACTGAAAACAGCCACATCAATCTTTCGCTGAAAGATTTCAGTGGCTGAACAACACTTCTGTGCATATAACCCATTCATAATACTACAAAATCTACATCAGCTCTACGTGACTAAATTAGTTTTAAAACAGAGCATTACCTGTCTAAAAGAAATACTTCAGCCATGGTGTCGTTCTCCCTCCATCGTGCCAAACGAACTTCAATATTGATTCAGGATTTAAAAAGTTTTGATTCAGCTTTTGCTTTTACCGTTGTCACTCTCTCATGTGCACTTGCAAATGGCGGACCAGTCTGTGTGAACGGTAAAAATCTGCATTTGCTGACAGACAGTTTGAGCTACTTATCAGAATTAGGGGAATTATCGGCCTGGCAAATTTTAACTGGATGAACATTTTTTAGTCTCATGCCTTACACAGAATATAAAAATACATATAAACACATTTAGATCATTTACTTTAATCATTACTATCAGAAAGATAGCCTAAAGAGACTTTCAACTAGCACAACAAAACATGTTTCTGAAGACAATCACCTACTGCACCAATATTATAAGCCCCAAGACAATATTATTAGCCCAAAGATAAAACAAATCAGTTATTAGAAAGTTCAGTTATTAATCATTTATTATTGGGCGATATTTATGATGATAAAGGCCTAAAATAATTTCAACACATTAAGGACTGTTTTGGTTTAGCAGGAGCATTAGATCTGCGATTTGTGCACATGGCATTCCCTGGGATGCACAATTCCCTGTACATCCTTTGCGGAAGATAAATACACCCAATATTACATCTGTTGCTTCTGCTTCACTTATATATGCCTCTCTTCTTAAAAATTCTTACAAACCGTTATCCATTAATACTATTTGATCTAAGGACATCAGTGGAGATGTAGAATCTTTATTTTCTGACCAAACCTGGGACACTATTTCATCCTCAAAAAATCTGAATCATCAAAAGATACATTGGAAACTATTGCATAGACTCTATTTATCCCCTGTAAAATTATTTTATTTGCATTTATCACCTTCCTCAGATTGCAATTTATGCTCACAGAGGACAGTTGGCACTTATTTTCATTATTATTAGGAATGTCCTGCACTTCATTCTTTTTGGTCTCAGTTGGCTCATGAAACTTAATTTTTGTTAGGTGTTATGTGGGTTTGTGTTTTATTTAATTCATTTATTTATTTGTTGCTGGTTTGCGCTTGAGTTACAGGTGGAGTTTTTCTACCCGGCTTGTCATGGATTGGATGACGCCTGTGATGTCACTGGGGATTCCCGCTGACAGCAATGACGACTCAGTCTCTCGCTCTCCCTCAGCTCGGTGGTGGCTTGTGCACAGGTGATCTGGCTATCAGTGCTCCGCATGCCAGGCGATCCATCTACATGCCGCTCTCTTTAGTGTTTTGTTCTTGTTAACCTTTTTGTTCTTGATGTGTTAACTAGTTTGTTTATTTTGATACTTTGTTTTCGTAGCAGGTAGTGGATTATTTTTCATAGTCACATTTTGTTATTTATTTAGTTTAGCAAAGGAAAGCAGGGGCCCGGAAGACTCACCTGTTTTTTATTCCTTTCACATGAGTTGTAGGTAAGATCTGTCCATTTCCAAACAGTGATAGTCAGAGACCTGTTTTCCTTAGCTGCCCAACCTGTCTACTTAATTCTTTTTTTTTATGTTTTGTCTCTTTTGGAAATATATGATTTATGAAAATTAAAGAGTATTGATGGGACGTCAAATTCTTAATTCAAGCTTCTGTTTCTTTTCATATGTTCGGCTCAAGCCTTCTTTGTTGTTTATATTCGAGCCAGTTTTGGGCTGTAACATTAGGAAAAGATGTAGAACTGACTCCAGTATGCTTTTTCCTAAACAAATTTTTACAACATTTCACACTCAATGCAACAAAAGAACCAACCCGGGCTCATTGTGGAAACGTAGCCCCGCGGACGTTTCTGCAGACCGCGATTTACGTCCCGGGAGGTACGTATTCAAGCGTTTTTTGTTTTCGCGGATCCGCGAGCGCGCGCCATTCGTGCCTGCGCCGTTCTTGCGTGAAAAGCCGCCGGATCGGCAGACTCGGCCGCCCTCCTCTTCCTCCTCCTCCTCCTTTCCTAAACCCGAGCGACGGTTCGCAAAAGCAGTCCAGAAAAAAAAAAAAAAAAAAAAGCAAAAGCCCTCGTCTTCGATTTCGACCGCGTTTTCGGATCCCGCCACGTTCTCGCCCTTATTTTTCGGATTCCGTTTTTCGTCTAACCTGATTTCCAGAACCTGCTGTTCCCCGGACTCGATCCCGGTTGTCGTCCACCGACACAACGCTGTGAGCTAAGCGGACAAACTGATTGCATCGGGAAAGCTGTCGGCCGGCAAGCGCGAAGAGGAGGGGCGGAGCGGCGCCACACCGCCCTGCAGCATTCGCTCGAAAAAAACTAAACGTGGCCTTTACGTACCTCCGGCCACGTAAATCGCGGTCTCCAGAAACGTCCGTGGGGCTACGTTTCCAGAATGAGCTTGGGTTGAAAAGAACTTACTCTGAGCTGCAATCACAGCTGCTAAGAAAATGTTGATCTGTCGCTGGATCCCTCCTCATATTATGAGTAAACATCAATGGGGCCTATCTTTGCTGGACATTATTTGTATGGAACTTTCAACATTGCGCATACATGGAGCTCAGTCAAAAACTGTTAAGTCCTGGAATTTAGCTTTTGATATTGTCAAATCCTTTGATTCTTCCTTCTTATGTACAGCTTTTCTGTTTATTTGTACTTTATCTCATAATGTAATAGTAATTTCTTTGTACTTACCTAAATTTTACTCTGTATTTGGCTTTACATTATTCTTTTTTATTTATTTTATTTATTTATTAAGAATTTTATTTTATTTATTTGTTAAGAAATGTGTTGAAATAAAAAAAATCTTCTTTTCCTTAAACAGAAATTGGGGAAAAATATACAAGGGGGCTAATAATTCTAATTTCAATTGTATATATACAATATGTTTTGCTGTCACAAATTTTAAAAAGAAGCAAGGTGTTTGAAATTAAAATAATGTTTCACAGTTCTTACTACATTATTCATCTAATAAAAGCAACATTGGTGGCCATAAAATACTCTAAACCTAAAAACAAAGTCTAAAATCTGTCAAACACTTTTTTTACCTTCTCCAGGTAGTTGAACTCCATGGCCATTTCACGGAAGAAAAAGTAGATATGTGGTCCCCATTCAACGGCACTCACAAAATAAGGCTCTGCGAGAAACACACATATACACACAAAAACAGGCTTTAATTTTACTCTCCAAGAGCTTCCTATGGAGAAACTGCAGCTCAAATAAGCAAACACTCATCAGTCATTATAAAGACATTTCATCTGAACAAACAACATATGCACAGTCCCAGAGGGAGGCGAGCCAGAGAAAGAGATAACTCAATGTGAGATGGTCCTCATAAAACATGCATGTCCTCTTAAATAAAGGAAAGAAAGAGACGAGAGGACATTCAGGGGTCCTGGCCTCGCTCTCCTTCAGCAGAAAGTGCTTTATAAAGCAGCCGCAGGTCTTTTGTGGCTCAGACCGGCATGTCGTTCTCGCTCCTTCAATGATTCGCTCATGGAAATATTCATCTGGTAGCTCTACGGCATTTAACGTTCAAACAGAGAGCTGGAAATTATACACACACATCCAGCAATTCTCTTTTGAATGAAGTAAAAGTGAGCTGCGTGCAGTTTCCAGTGGTTACGAGCTCCTGGATATTTGTGAAAAACAACTTGAATGCCCCAGAAATAATTAAATTATTTAATTTATAAATAAATAAATAGATAATGAAATAAATAAACAAATAGAAAGACAAGTAAATAAAAAAATGTAATAAAATAAATAAATAAATAAATAGACAGGCATAAATGAATAAATAAATAAATAAATAAATAAATACATTTAAAATAAAGAGTCGGACAGACAAAAATAAATACAAATAAAAAATAACATAAATTAATAAACAGACAAGCATAAACAAATAAACAAACAAACAAACAAACAAAAAACAAACAAAAACAGACAGGCATATATAAATAAAACAATAAATAGACAGACCGGCATTAATAAAAAAATAAAAAAATAAAAAAATAAAAAAATTAATAGACAGACATAAACAAACAAATAAATAAATGAATAGAAAGACTGGAGTAAATAAATAAATAAATTGACATATTACAAAAAATAAATAAATAAAAACATGAAAAATAAATAAATAAACAAACAGACAGGCTTGAATAAATAAATAAAAACAATAAATAGATAGGCATAAATAAATAAATAAACAGGTATAAATAAATAAATAAAAAATAAATAAATAAATAAATAAATAAACAAAATAAGAGAGCTTTTATTTAGAATTGTATCATTTGCAAATATTTAGGCTTTAATGTGTTTCATGTTTATCATGTTTATGACAGATTTATGACAAGTTTTGTTGTCTTGGTTATGTCAAGTTGTCATGACAAAGACAAAAACAGCTTGTGATATATTTGTTTATTTCAAGTTGTCATAACAAACAATGTCATCTTTGCGTTTAAAATGTCATAACTGAGCAAATGACACTTAATGACAGTTGTTATAAGCATGCATAAAATCTCATTCACGTGTGTCATGCCTCAAGAATAACCCTTCAACTAAAGGGTTACTAAAGATTTAAATGAGGGCCAAGTCAAGCTTATTTTATTTAGAGCAAATATGCGCATCACGACGCATGAACTGTCAAACGACCTAAATTATTTCTGTGAAGATGTTTGAGGAAATCAGATGATCACATCGGCGCGCCGCCCTGCAATCTACCTGTCAGGCTGAAGTGTGCTTTCCTTTGTGGATTTTAAAATAGTTTAGAGGAAGCACATTCACCGCACTGAATTCTGAGTGAGATTTCACACCAGACATGCCGAGAGCGCTAACAAAACCAAATGGGATTTTTTTTTATTCCTTTCTTTTTTTTCTACACAAGTTGTTTTTCACAAATATCCAAGAGCTCGTAACCACTGGAAACTGCACGCAGCTTACTTTTGCTTCATTCAGAAGAGAATTGCTGGACGTGTGTGTATTATTTCCAGCTCTCTGTTTGAATTTTGTATGCCGGAGAGCTACCAGATGAATATGAGAGAATCTTTTTTTTTCTGTCTGTCATTTATTTCAGTTTTTTTTTTATGAATTAAATAAGTTAATTATAAGCAATTTAATTTGATTTGTGAGACAGCAAATATGCTGAATTATTATTTAAAAAATGCAAATAAATAAATAGATAAATATTAAAAACAAAAATAAAACAAAACATCAGTGTTCATAGCTAAATTCCATAGCAATTTCATAAAAATTTCATAGCAATTGCATAGCAAAATTAAAAAAGGGAAATAAAATCTTTATTTATTTATTTATGTAATTCCATGGCTTATTGTTCAATGAGTTATGTATTTTGGTGAGCCACATGATGCTTCATACTTCATTAAAATCCATTTAGTTCTCAAGAAATATAAATAAAGATAAAATCTGTGGATAGATTATTACCATTTTTATCATTTAACCCTCAGACAATGTTGCAGTTTAAATAATTGGTTTCTATGTACGCTTTTAAAACTATTTTAAATGATTTGGAGTTAAAAACATTGGCCTGTAGATGTTTGAGTAGTTTTTAATTGTCCTTGTATGTGTGTGTTGGTGAATGAATGATGTTACCTGTTATTTGTGTATGTTTGTTTGTTTATTTGCCGGTTAAACCCTTGTGACATGTGTACTGTCTAATCTTGGCCAGGACGCTCTTGTAAAGATATTTTTAATCTTAATGTGCTTTTTCCTGGTAAAATAAAGGTTATAATAATAACAATAATAATAATAATAATAATAATAATAATAATAATAATAATAATAATAATAATAGCGCAGTAGGTAGCGCTGTCGCTTCACAGCAAGAAGGTCGCTGGGTCGCTGGTTCGAACCTCGGCTCAGTTGGCGTTTCTGTGTGGAGTTTGTATGTTCTCCCTGCGTTCGCGTGGGTTTCCTCCGGGTGCTCCGGTTTCCTCCACAGTCCAAAGACATGCGGTACAGGTGAATTGGCTAAATTAAGTAAGCTAAATTGTCCGTAGTGTATGAGTGTGTGTGTGTGTGAATGAGTGTGTGTGGATGTTTTCCAGAGATGGGTTACGGCTGGAAGGGCATCCGCTGCGTAAAAATGTGCTGGATAAGTTGGCGGTTCATTCCGCTGTGGCGACCCCGGATTAATAAAGGGACTAAGCCGACAAGAAAATGAATGAATAATAATAATAATAATAATAATAATAATAATAATAATAATAAATTTTTAACATTTTATTAAATCATTATTAACACTTATTGGTACACTATCAAAATAATTGATTTAAAACAGAATTGTTGTTATTGTACTACAGACATGCTCCTAGTAAGTAGTTAATTCTTAAGAGCAATCACTATCTGTTCATTAGCTACTACAGCAGGGGAGTTCTCGAGATCTACGTGTACTCAAACTCCCCTTTCGCCCTGCAACAGGAGGGAACCCCAGCCTCGAGGATCTTATGAGATCAGGGCTCTCTCACAGGACAGCATGCCAAACATGCTTTATAATCAATCATTAGCCAAGTGTAAATTCTTGAAATATCTTTAATGACAATGATCAATCAGTAAAAGTATATTTATATAAAAATGCCGGCCCCAAAACTTTTAAATAGTTGAATAGTGCAGTGGTTCTCAAATTGTGGTACGTGTACCACTAGTGGTAAGTGGGCTGCCTTCTAGTGGTACGCAGAATAATCCAATATGTCATATGTACATGCAACATATATTTCAAAACTTATCAAAAATGGTTTATATATGAACATGATGAAATATAGCCTATATTTATAAGGGCCAAGCAACATTTCCGTTTTGATGAACTATCATGATACTACAGATTAACAATTTAGATTTAAGTACAGCAGTTTTTTTTTTTTTTACTTTTTAAGAACAGTAACCTACCATTTTTTACTTTTACAAGCTCATTTTAATTTAAACGTTGACATTTTATTTTGTTTGTTTGTTTGTTTTTTCACATATAAGCACAGAACAGTGTTAATGTTTAAACTATTTATAATGTTTAAAGTGGCTGATAAAATAAATACTCCTAATAATAGTAGTTAATCTGCCTGGTTTTTAAACTGTGCAGAGCTGTAGCTGCTTTGCTGGGCTTACTTCGCTATTGTATTTCAATACTGCTCATTATGGTGGTACTTGGAGGCATAGTTTTTTCTGAGGTGGTACTCGATGAAAAAAAGTTTGAGAACCACTGTAATAGTGTATATTACTTTGGCAAATGAAAGCACTGGAAACCTCATTATAAGAGCATTAAGCATGATTCTTTTTATAAACGCAGTCATAAATCATTATTTCTGTCCGCCACAAATTTCCAACAACATTCATTTAGTGTACACAGAAATAAATGAAGACCAAAACAGACAACATTAGGTATAACAAACTTTTTTACAGTCAAGCATTTGTAGTTATACAGTTAAAGACAGAAGTATTGCCCTCCCCCCTGTATAGTTTTTTCCCCAATTGCCCTTTAACGCAGAGAAGTTATTTTCTTCAACACATTTCTAAACATAATAGTTTTTATAACTACTTTCTAATAAGCAATTTCGGTAACACTTTATAATAACTACACACTATGAATCATTTACTAAGCATTAGCATCTAGTGAATTCATTATCTGTTAAGCATTAAGCCACAGCCATGTCACCCTGCAGCCCAAGACCGGTTACTCACTGAAGCTAAGCAGGGCTGAGCCTGGTCAGTACCTGGATGGGAGACCACTAGGGAACACTAGGTTGCTGTTCGAAGTGGTGTTAGTGAGGCCAGCAGGGGGCGCTCAACCTGTGGTCTGTGTGAGTCCTAATGCCCCAGTGTAGTGAAGGGGACACTACACTGTCAGTGGGCGCCGTCTTTCGGATGAGACGTTAAACCGAGGTCCTGACTCTCTGTGGTCATTAAAAATCCCATGGCACTTCTCGTGAAAGAGCAGGGGTGTAACCCCGGTGTCCTGGCCAAAGTCCCTCTATCGGCCCTTATGATCATGGCCTCCCAATCATCCCCTTCCACCGAATTGGCTGGTGTGTGGTGAGCGCACTGGCGCCGTTGTCCTGTGGCTGCCGTCACATCATCCAAGTGGATGCTGCACACTGGTGGTGGTGTGGAGAGACCCCCCCTCATGATTGTAAAGCGCTTTGGGTGTATGGCCATACACAATAAATGCGCTATATAAATACACATTACATTACATTTACATTACATTAACTCTGCATTAATAAGCGTTAGTAAGCAGTTTAAAACTGCAGCTACAAATGCTCTATTCTTGACTTGTAACCATATTTATAATGTGCATAATAATTGTATTTCCCTACGTTGTTAATGATTTATTTTTCATTACTAAATGAAGTATTGCATTATTTACACGGCAGTTGTATTTAAGAGTAGTTGGCGGTTTTTAAGATTGTTCAGAATGAGGTAATAAATGATTAATTAACTATTAAAATCAACATTTTTACATCTTATTATTCAGGCATATAGTAATGGTTACTATGTATGTTAAAAATGCTTTAGTAACTCTACTTCTTGCAGTTTTGCGACCTAATCCAAAGTGAGGACTATTTATGCTTTATAAATCCCTTACACATGACAATTAAAGGCTCCGTATCAAATGAACAATAATCATTGCAATCTTATCTAAAAAGTCAAATTACAGTAAAATTTAAACATTGATGAATGACAGGAGTGTCAAAATACAACATAAAATTGTATAAAACAACAAGTATATATTAATTTAACAATAAAAAAGGATGCAATGTTAAAACTATACAGTCATTTTACTTAAGATTAGGTTGCAAAGATTTATTTTTCAATTAAAGTCATTCATTCATTCATTTGTGTATCTTCAAATGCATAATAAGGAATAATGTCGTTTATGTCACTTTTTCCTGTTTAGAATAGAACTGAGCCTTTAATTGTCATTTATAAGGGATTTATAAAGCATAACTAGTCCTCACTTTAGATTAGGTCACAAAACTGCATGAAGTTGAGGTAATAAAGCATTTATTTAAATACAAATTAACTATTAGTATATGCCTGAATATTAAGAATTATAAATGTTAATTTGAATAGTTTATTAATCGTTAACTAACTCATTCTGAATGATCTTAAAAAACCAACTAACTATGCTTTAATAACTGGTTTGTAAAAAATTAAATACTAAATTAAGTAATGAAAAATAAATCAATAACTAAATATGAAAGTATAATTATTAAGCACATTATAAATGTGTTTGTAGGTCAAGAATTCAGCATTTATATCAGCACTTATAAACTGCTTACAAACGCTTATTAATGGACACCAGCCCTCCAGGACCGAGATTGGTGACCCCTGATGTAGAGTTAATGCTTAGCAGAGAACGAATTCACTATTTGCTAATGCTTAATAAATGGTTCATAGTGTGTACCTATTATAAAGTTTTACCGCGATTTCTTTTCTCTTTGACACTCTTAGGTATTTTTCAAGACACTAGAATTCAGCGCAAAGTTAAATTTAAAGCCCTAACTGGGTTAATTAGGCAAGGTAGGGTACTTAGGCAAGTCATTGTATAAAGATGGTTCGTTCCATAGACAATCAAAAACAAATATTGCTTAAAGGGGCTAATAATATTGACCTTAAAAGGCTTTAAAAATAAAAAAAAACTGCTTTTATTCTAGCTGAAATACAACAAATAAGACTTTCTCCAGAAGAAAAAATATTATAGGAAATACTGTGAAAACTGCCCTGCTCTGTTAAAAATAGTTCAGAAAATATTTGAAAAAGAAAATAAAAATTCACAGCAGGGCAAATAATGTTGACTTTAATTGTACATGTATGTGTAAAATTATTACCTCGGAACCACTTGGAGTCATGTTTGATGGTGCGCAGGGCAGGACTCTCTCCCAGACTGCGGTAGATCACAGCATCAATAGCCAAGAAGTCCGTCACTGTACCCGTGAACAAGCTGCCCTCTGGGGTCACAGGTCAGAGGTCAGAGGTCAATAATATTGACATTGTGCCATGATGATATATGTGCAAAGGATTTAAGTAAAAAGTGCTTGATCTTAAGCAAATTTAAGGCAAATTAAAATCTGATCTTTGAACGTCTCTGGATCACAGCTGTTGATTGAGGATGAGAGAGCTCCAGGATTTCATCTAAAATATTTACATTTGTGTTTTGATGATGAATGGAGGTTTATGAATGGAGAGTTGTTAATAGTAGATGGTTTTGGTGACACTTTACAATAAAGTTTCATTAGTTAATGTATTTGCCAACATGAACTAATGATAAACAACACTTGTACAGAATGAATTAATCATAGTTCAGAATTTACTGATGCATTATTAAAATTCAAATCCATGCACTGAGTCACGTAGACAATTTTATTATCATGATTAACATTAACAAAGTTGAATAAATACTCTAATTAATGTATTCTTTATTGTTTGTTCATGTAAGCAAATACATTATAATACAACCTTAATGTAAATGTAATGTTCAATTTGGGGTGAACTGACCCTTTAATTCCTTAATTTGCCAGTGGTAAAACCTGAAGGTTGTGTTAAAGATATTTATTACTAGTGTAGTTAGGCAAGTTATTCAGTTTTTCACTTGTCCTTTCAATTTTTGGTCAGACTAAAAAAAAAATGTCAAAGAAATGTTGGAAAACACATGTTTTCATTGGTTTGATGCATGTAACGCTGTAATAAAAAAAAAAAAAAAATATATATATATATATATATATATATATATATATATATATATATATATATATATTAAACATTTCAGTATCCCTCTGGTAGTCTTTGGTCATTTTAGACCAGAAAAACTGAAGAGGGTCTGGATGCCGACCTAGTTGCAGTGCAATCTGTGCTGCATGCAATGCTTTTTAATAAGCTCACCTAACCCCACCCCTAACCCTACCCCTCACTGAGTGCATAGTGTCTGACATTGCAACACTGAGATATGCAGTCTCAGCTTGCATCATCAAGGCTGCATCCACATACTATCAGAAAAATGTTTTGAATACCTAGAATTCCTAGAGCTGTGGGTTTAAAACTCATCGACTTTGTTGGCATTTGATATGTCAAAATAAAAAAAAAGAAATTGATGCCATGACTCAAGCATGTTAAATGGTTGTAAAAAAATAGTCACACTTGTGTTCTTTGAGTGAAAAAATGTTTTTGTTTTTTTTAACCAGATGAGACTAACCTGCCTTTTGGTTTTGTTTTTGAATGGCACATACTCTATTCTACCTGGAAATACTACAATATATAAAAAAATAACGAAAACAAAAAAATTCCACAAAAAAAGGATGGTAATCGCTGCATAAATATGAATTATTACCACAAAACCTTATAAAAATGAAAAATAAAATAGAAAAACATATTAGTAGTCAAATATAATTTGATGGATTTTACTGAACAAAAATCAATGGGTACTTTACAGGTGTTCGTTTCTTTATGACGATTATTTAGTAAGTGTAATTATTTAGCTTAATTGAAAAAAGTGAACAATTAGTAAAAAAAGAAAACGAATAAACAAATTACAAGCAGCAACCCAAATAAACAAAACAATGATTTTTGCTGATTAATGATAAAGAGATAAATCACCCGAAACTGAAATATCTGTCGTCATTTACTCATCCAAAACTTGTTCCAAACCTTTTTAAGTTTCTTTCAACCCAGGCTCATTATTGATGAGTACCCCTATATACATTTATGGAGATCAAAATGCAAAATACATCCCAGGAGCTATGTTTTTTTTAACGAATCCACCAGAAGATGCTTTGTAGGTTTTTTGAGATCTCAAATTTCTGTTGCGAGTACCATTCGCACTTGCTCTTCCCGCATAAATACACCAGAGGCCACTGTAGACTGACTACAAACTGACTGACTGACTGACTGACCGACCGACCGACCGACCGAAAAAGCACCGATTGACCTGATCACCACCTACCCAAACCCAACCAATAGTGTTTTCAAAACAACCCAGTCTCATTTTGAAAACATAGTCCCATGTTTCTAGAGATTGCAAAATACATCCCGGGAGGTGCGTAATTTTGCAGTTTTTTGTTCTCGCATGTTCTTTCTGGAAACGTTCTTCACCTGACTTAAGCCCCTTCATTGCGTCAACTCCTCTCTCTGCATTTCAAGTCTGCGAACATACATGGCAAGCTACAGAGCAAACTGGGTAACATTGGAAAAGCCGTCTACATGGAGGTACATAAGTGGTCAACTGGTAAGCGCAAAAAGAAACAGAAGCTGTCAGCACCTCTGCAGCATTTGTTTTAAAGATGAAATGCAGCCATTTGTACCTCTGGCTACATAATTCACGCTCTCCAGAAATGTATACGGGGGTACGTTTTTACAATGAGCATGTGTTAGTTTCTTTCTTCTGTTGCACACAAAAAAAGATGTTTTTAAAAATGTTTTAAAAAACAAACATTGACTTCCATATTATTGTTTTGTTGCTAATATGGATGCCAATGGAAGCTTTTTCCAACATTCTACAGAATATCTTCCTTTAATTTCAACAGAAGAAGGATAAACTTTTTATAAAAGTTTAGAACCACAACTTCTTTAATGACAGCAACAAATTTAGGCTGTTGTTACTTTAAGAGATGTCCACCTCAACGAGTTTACTTTCATTTTAGACTGAACAGACTGTGTTTTACAGTCCTGTTATATGACAGATATTTAGCCTATCCACTGAAGTGCAAGTAAATGTAATATTTGAAATGCTCAGCATGGAAATATCAATACTTTTGACAACGTTACAGCATCCACTGGGTGTACGGCTCTTATCATCTCAGACTGAATGGGATAAACATATAAATGCATTATGTGAATAATAGAGTCATTACATGGCCTGAAAGATGTGCTTTTACCTGCGAACAGAGCGACGTTTGCGTGTTTGGGATCATAAGGACATCGGGCCATTCCACTGATGGGCTCGCCAACCAATTCCAAAGTGTCTCTCTGAAACACACACAGATACACGGATATGACACTATCACAGAAGATGATAGCTGTTAGAAAGCACACATTTCTTCGAAGACATTCACAAGTGCTGCTATCATTTCTGCACCATTGCAACAACAGCAGAGAGGGCATGTGAGAGAGAATGTGTATGTGTGAGAGACATGGTCAACACAAATGTAACACAAACTCATGCAAACACAGAGTTTGCTCGGTTTTATGTGAAACCTAAGTTCTGTAGAACACATACGCATGTTAAAATATACTGTAAAAAGCAAATATTTAAAAAACGTGAAACTTTTTACTTTATTTGGTTTAATTAGGTACATTGATCTGTACAACCAGTTACCTTTATATGTGCACACACACACACACACACACGCACGCACACACCCACACCTCCCTGTCCCTGTCTGTTTCATCCCTTCTTCGTTTTCTCTCTTCTATTTATATGTAATTTGTGAACTCTTGCATAATAAAAAAACAAATAAATACATAAATAATATATAAATTATAAATAAATAAATAGATTAATAAACAAACAAACAAACAAACAAATAAACAAATAAATAAACAAACAAACAAACAAACAAACAAACAAATAAATAAATAAATGAATGAATAAATAAATAAATAAATAAATAAATAAATAAATAACAATGAATAAAAATTCACCTATAGCGCATGTCGTTGGACTGTGGGGGAAACTGGAGCACCCAGAGGAAACCCACGCCAACACAGGGAGAACATGCAAACTCCACACAGAAATACCAACTGACACAGACGGGGCTTGAACCAGTGACCTTCTTGCTGTAAGGTGATTGTGCTACCCACTGTGCCACCGTGCTGGCCCATTAAAAAAAAATCATAAAATAAATAGACAATAAATAAATAAATATTTAAAAAATGTAAATATTAAATAAATAAATAACAAAATAAATATATAATAAACAAATAGATAAATAAATATATAATAAATAAATAAATAAAAAATATTCAATAAATAAATACTAAATAAATAAATAAATAAATAAATAATAAAATAAATAGATAATACATATATAAACAAATACTCAATAAATAAATACTCAATATATGAAAAATAAAATAAATAAATAAATAAATAAATAAATGATGTGAAATAAATAAGAAAATTTCAACAGAACTTAAATATTTTTTGTGACAAGTGACCTAAATCAGAAAATGTTATATTTAATACAGCTTGAAAATGAAAATGTTGCAAATTGAAATGAATATGGTGAATATGCTGCTATAAAAAACAGAAAAATGTCATATTACTTGCTGTAATTGTAAAGATTAAACATGTAAACAATTGCGGCCTGAAACTCCCACAATGAAAGTAATTTATAGTAAATTATATAGTGTTTTTGTAACCATACTATAGCATAATATATAGTATAGTATGTAGTAAACAAATAGCTGTAAATACAGTGTTAACAATGTCCTGTAAAATCTACAGCATCTTCCAGGCCACAGTTCGCCAGTAGCTAACTTACTGTCAATCAATTACAGCAAAAAAAACTGTATACATTTACAACACCATTTATCTTGCTGTATGTTTAAAGAACTGTATACCTATCTTTTCCGTAAAATATACAGCAATTTTCACAAGGTAACTTCAAAATACAGTAACATACTGGATAACTGTCCAACAGTAAAATGCAGTTCATATTACACAGGCCTGTAGCCAGCCTAGCGAAAGGAATGGTTCTCTCTTTTTTTTTTAATTAGTTTGTTTTTGCAGTTAAACGCCTCATTTTCTATTTAATTATGAGATTTAAATACAGCATTTTCGTGACATTTTTAAGCATTGTTTTTAGCTGGATTAGCTTGTCAGATGGTCATTATAACGACACTTTTTGATTTAACAAAAAAAAAAAGATTTAGAGTAAAGAAACATGAAAAAAGAAATCAAATACAAATTTATTACGTCATATTACATTAGAAAAAAATAAGAATCTGTTTTAAAGTAAAAACTGTAGTATTTTGAAGTTTGTAGACTTGTACATTTAACTTTCCTCCAAATTGGGTCCTTTGAATATTAATAATAACATAATAATAATAATAATAATAATAATAATAATAATAATAATAATAATAATAATAATAACAATAGTACTACTACTACTACTAATAATAATAATGTTGAGCTTCTCGATTTTTCTAGCTTCACTTTTAAAAAAGTATGTTTGAAAAGTCATGGATAACAATAGGCAAATTAGTATTCATGGTTAAATTTAATATGGGCCTCTTTTGGTGCTTCACACCTCTTTATTCACTTTTTTGTTTTAAGAATAAGCTCAACGGTTTAGAATAATAGTTACTTGTAAAAATGTTTTCTCTAATTAACAACAATACAGTAGGTCGATAGCAAAATATGACTTCACTTACATCAGATTTTTATGTTTTCTTGTAAAGCTGGATGTTGGACTAATGAATAATAATAGTTTGCATTGGACAAAAGTGTTGTTGTCATTAAACAGAGCGACAAAGATTCCACTTGGTCTTAAAGCCTTTTTTGATGGATTATTTTTACAATTTATGATGGTAGAGCATACAAAAAAGAACAAATGAGCTCATGTATGGGACAAATTTTGCACCTTAGTCAGTGAGGGGTGGGTCTTACAAACACCCCTTGGGTATGGGTCTGTTACAGTTAAATATTGTGCGATTTACAAAAATCGTTAACAGTGTATATAAATTTTAAACACTATAGTATTTACTTTTTCAACATGGGTACATGTAAACGAAGATGTTGACGTCCGCTTGCATTGAAGTAGCACTCACCGTGTAATTGGCGCACAATGGGTTGAAAGCGTTTGTCCCGCACACAAACAGCCCTCCATCATGGCTCAGCAACACCTTAATATAATTACGGCACTCCTCCTGAAGCAAACAAATAAAACAAAAACAATATTACTACATTATATATTTATTTTTACAATCGCTCTAAACGTCTTGAAAAAAAAAACAATTATGCATTTCTGAGTGTACCTCATGCAGGTGAGTGGGTTTGACAAACCACCTGTAGAAACACTTTTCTCTCCATATGCACTGGACACTTTATTTAAACATCATCTTGCATGAACTCAATTAAAGAAAACAATGCTTACATGTGATTGGACCACAAAACTTGTTTTCTTCAAACTTACATACTTTTGCACTATATCTTGCACTATAGCATAGATATACACATTAGATGTCGCCTACCCTGTAGTTGTCTATTAGAAGGAATGCGTCAATAGAGCCGCCATTTTAGTACAGGGTAGCACTCCTTTGAAATAAATGCGGGACCAAGCTGCAGTGGAGGTCTGTGGCCATTCAGAGCCAGAGAATTACACATCCACGCATATACACATATATCTATGATCTCGAGTTTCCCACTGGTCAGTATGCGATTTTTTCTTATTATTACGAAATGTATAATTTTACATCACTACATTGATGGATCAGTGATCGCACAGGCATTCCTGACAAAAAGCTTGTGTTTGTGTGTATAGAAATGTACTATCCACCCTCCCTGTTAAATTTGATCTATTCATGTCCTGAAACACAGCCCCTCTCCTGTTTCACTTCTCATACTGACAGAGGGAGCGATTCGTTTGTGAATAAACAATTCACAACAAACAATTTTGCAAACAATCAGCAAAAAATCAGCAAACAATTTTGCATTGTTTGCTGATTTTATTCAACAAAACTAGCATAAGCCCAGTGTTTAGTGTGGGTTGGTGCTACTTTGCCTTATGGTGATAAGAGACGGTACTATCATGAACAACGTGACCTGTTTAACACAAAATTTCATAACATAAAATGTAATAAACTAAATCTTACCTATGAAATGTTCTGCCTTTGTGCTTTGTTTTCTTTGTTTGCTCGTTACTCCACCTTTAGTCCAGCATCTTCACATAATAACACTGTCTTGACTAGTGCGGTTGAATGACATTTGTCCTAGGAGCACTGTACAAATATGGCGGCATTGTTGACGCATGCTCAGGGTCCCTATGCAATATCTAGTGTATATATCGATGGCACTATAGTGTGTGTGGATGTTTCCCAGAGATGGGTTGCAGCTGGAAGGGCATCCGCTGCGCAAAACGTAAAGATAAGTTGGCGGTTCATTCCGCTGTGGCGACCCCAGATTAATAAAGAGACTACGCCAAAAAGAACATGAATGAATGAATAAATGCTTACAAAAATCTGGTTGGAAAAAAAAAAAGTCACAATATTTACATTTTATGGCAGAAAAAAAATAATATTTTACATATTGAATCAAACTGCGAACATCAAATTAAACAAAAATGAACAAATAAATTATGGTTTAAATCTGAATCAAATGAACTTTTAGTTGCTGTTACAACTGCACTGTCGTACTTTGTTTTAGTTGTTAATGTGATTAATGTTAACACTATAATCAATTAATATTATAAATACATATAATTATTATAATTAATCAAACATCGCACAGCATATTGAAATCCTCAAATTTTACACATTATACATTATAATTTGAATGGCATCTACGCTTATAACTGTTCTTCCTTATCCCAAGCTCTCTATAATCTTGGACCAGGCCATACCCGGAGCAGATGCTGTGGTGGACATGGAGGAATGAAGAGCATGAGACAGATTCCTGAAAGTGACAGATGAGCCTCAGCATTGATCTTGTGGGCCAGCCTGAACACCCACCGGTAACCTACACTACACACACCTGCAGCTTCTCATGATGGAGAAATGGTCGTGCCCAACTGAGCCTGGTTCCTCTAGAGTTTTGTTCCCTTCACGTTTGTCAATTGGTAAAGTTTTGTTCCTCGACACTGTCACCACTGGCTTGCTTGGTTTTGGGAGCTGCGAATCGATAAATTTGCTCTTTCAGCAGTCAAAATCAAACCAGACTGAACTGAATTAAACTAAATTTCATCTCTGAAAACTGCACTGAGACAGTTTCAGTTTACTAGAACTTCCATGTTAAGCTGATTTGGCACAATCTACATTGTAAAAGCGCTATAGAAAATAAAGATGAATTGTATGGATTAAAATTTAAATTTAAATCTGGGAATAAACTAAAATGGTTAGGATAAAAACTGAAGAGAAAATTGATAAATATGTTATCACTCAAAATCTAGGCTATCCCCATTACTTATTGTGTGGAAACCACTGAGATGCTATCAATGTATTTGTTTCGCCGGGCGGATCTTTGAATTTCAATGACTTTGGCGGCATTTGACTTTCATGTCATTTAACAAAGTCATTTGAATCCTAATTAAAATGTGAGTGAAGGAGAAAGACACAAAGAAAAACAGTGTGTCTGTGTCTTTATGTGTGTAGCAGGTCAGACATGAAAGCGAAGGGCAAGATGGACAAAAGGACAAGGCTGTAAATATTTACACAGCTTCACAACTCATTTTCTCTCTGACATCATTATTTTGAGAGCTGTGTTTGTTTTTGAAGTCAGACACCAGATAAGTAGGCCCCAGCTCGCAGCTCCGCCACAGAACCCACACTGTGAGCCTCCTTCCAAAACACCCATTTTCTCTTCACTTTTACATTGTATTTGGACTAGTTTTTGCACAATGCTTCTGTATGTCTCTGTGTGGTTTAGAAACCGGAAGTAGTTTCCTCTAAATCCGTCACAACATGTGTCCAGCCATAAAAGCAGTTCTGAAAGCTACTGGATAACCAGCTGCGAACACTCATGCACCAGGACTGCCTTTGTTCCCTGACATACATCAATGAAGCGTTTTGAAGTGGCTTTGTGTGTTTTGCTAAAAACCTCTGCATGTGGGCCCCCTCACAGAGCTCCGCCGTAGAGCCTATTCAGCGCTCTGCCCATTGAGTTTGACTGGGCCTCCTGGTGGAGCTGAAACTTAGCGGGGGGTTGACACTGAGGTCAGGCCCTTTGAGGTGATTAGCAGGACTGCCGAGGGTCTATGTGTTGTTACAGATGCATGTCCACATTCACTGTGTGTGTGTGTGTTTGCACAAGAGATGTAGATCTAAGTGTCGTTACAAATGCATTCAAGCTGTTCACAGCACAAATCATACAATCCCTATAGAGATAGATCAACTTACAGCATGTGTGTGTGTGTGTGTGTGTGTGTGTGTCTCTGTGTGTGTGTGTGTGTTTAAACAAGAGAACAGACAGGGATCTGTTCATTTTTGATAAGCTGTGGTGTGTGTGATTTATGTGGTTTACAAGGACACAAAATTGTGTACTGACATGGGCACGACTTACACTGTAAAAAAAGCTGGGTCCCACACAACACCTTCATGTTGTCCCAACACAACCCGATTAAGTTAACTTAATTGTTTTCACAAATTAAAGTAGATTAAACATTAAACAACTAAGTTAAGCCTAAACTAACCTCAAGAATTGTATTGATTCAGTTTATTTTAAATAAGTTGCTTGACCAAGCTGCAAATACAATTTTTTCAGTGCTCTAGGGCTGCACGATAATGGAAAAAACCTGCATTTAGTTTTGCTGCAGTACTGTATATATTGCCATATGAATATGATTTAATCAGGTGAATTGAATTGCTCTATTGGAAAATATCATCAGCTGTGATAATAAAGTAGGTAACTATCCAGTGCATCTGCATAAAATATAATAAATTAAAAATATATAAATATGACAGAGTGATATCAGGTTTGACATGCTGTGAGAGAACCCTCCACTGTGGGAGGAGACTGGAGTACCCGGGGAAAACCCAAGCGAACATGGGGAAAACATGCAAACCGACTGGCTTAACCATTGGCTCTCCTGCTGCGAGGTAGCAGCGCCAGCCACTCAGCCGCCGGGTCGCCCGTTCAAAGCATTGAGGAGTAGGAAGGGAAGAATGGGGGGGTGTTCCAAAACGAAGATATGCAATAAAGTTTAGGCAGGATATTTATGGTAGCTTTGGAATTATCCAATAGGCTAGCTCATGATTAGCGATAAGGATCAGCTGTAGTCGATCATATCCAATGCTCCTTTAAAAATTAGTTTGTGAAACTTCACGTATTCAAGTACAGAAATTAAACAAATGTAAAAAAAAAACTGAAAATGACATTTTTTAAATAATGGGGTCTATGTTAACGATCTTAACATGAAGTCTGAAGCGCATGGCGCTAAAGCATTAAGGGAGTGTCCACATCCACATTTGCTATTTTAAGGACAGAAAAATACACTTTAAGCCAGGATGCATGGTCTAACAGGGTTGTGCTTATTCTCTTAATGAATTATGGATGTGTTTTGAGCATAACGTGTATTAAACCAATCAGAGTATCATCTGCCATTCCCTTTAAGAGTCAGTTGCATCTCACCATGGCACACTTTGTAAATGTAAAAACTGAGCGATTCACTTATGAGAAAACAGTTAAACAGACCATCTGCAGCGCAAGGAGAAAGAATAAGCCTCCTCCATTCTCTTTACTTTTACTCTTTGCTTTACTTTTACTCTTTACTTTACTCCTTTACTTTTATGGATAAGGAAACGGTGGAAACTCACTCTACTGAAGACGTCCTTTAGCCGCCCTGTTCTTATGCCCTATATGGTGATGCATACGTCTCCAAAACCCGACAGGAGGACAAATCTAAAATTGCTTTTATTCAAACAAATATAAACATGAATATAATAAATAATACTGCTAATAATAATAACATACAATGCAAATTGTCATGAATAAACTGAAAAAACCCCAAAGGTGAAGAAGGCATGGAGGCAGTAACACTTATTATATAACACTTTTTAACACTTATAGTATAACACTTTTTTGTAACACTTTAACCCTTTTTATTTTATTCATAGGAAAAGATATTTGTGTTTTCCTTTACATCCTTTCTATATTAAGCAATGTGTACACATTTGGACCCTCATAGGTGCATATGGTGGCACGGTGGCGCAGTGGA